TGACTGTTTTTGGGGTCACGCTGTTACCCTCTCCTGGAGTGGGTGTGCATGCTAGCACCCCTTGCTACTGCGTTGGGTGCCGCAGCACCTGGTGCTGCTAGGGGGTCCCTAGCATTAGGTGACCCCCCAGGTTTGCCGTTTCGTGTGGGTCCACCTATGTGTTGGTCAGGGCCCTTGGGCTTGCTCCTTCAACAGGAGGTTCGTAAAAAATTTGGAGGGGAGACTTTGGACGGGTAGGAATCAAAAAAAAAAAAAGGGACAAGGAGAAATACCAGTACCGGAATATCCCTATGACTCCTGGCCAGTGTAACTGGGGAAAGGGCTCCGCAGAAGTGCTCCGCATTGTTCTGCTACCAGGATACCATTTGGAACGCTTGTCGTACCTATGGCAGCCTGGGATGGTGGAAATATGACGAGCAGTGCTGTCAACAGTTGGCGGTGCGCCCCTCAATTTCGTGGGAACAGATTGACATTGGCCTCTGGCCCTCCACTGTGAGCTGCATGGCCCCCCAGCAGGGTGCGTTCTCGTCCTTTCTCAGAGGGGTGGTGGGGGGGTCCTCCTCCTCACCGGTCGCGCATCGGAGGCTGGGCTGTTGTTGAAATTCAATGACAGTCACTGCAAATGGGGGGACATCTTGCTGTTTCCAGCACGAATGTTCCACTTGGGGATTTGGGGTCAGAGGGCGATGGCGCCAGTGGTCATGAGCGCGATGCGCCCTTGGCTCTCCAGTTTATAGAAATCGTCGGGTGGCTGGCATCCTACTGTATGGGTTGAGCATGGGTTTTGGACAAATACCGTCTGATTCACCATTTATCGTACCCCCGGAGGGGGGGGGGGTTGGTGAATGACGACATCTCTTGGGAACTCTGACGGGTATCTTATGCATCCTTTGACGTGGCGGTTGATATGGTCAGGGCCATGGGCCCTGGGCCCTGGGGCCTTGTTGGGCCAGGGCTGATGTGGATTCGGCCTTCCGTCTACTGCCAGTGCACCCGGGATGTCACCATCTTCTGGGCTGTGTTTTTTGTAGGCATGTATTACGTGGATATGTGCCTCCCTATGGGTAGTTCCATACCCTGTTACTTTGCATGCTTCAGCACATTCTTGGACTGGGTGGTGAGGAAGGAGGCTGGTATAGTCTCCTTGCTACACTACCTCGATCATTTCATTTGTGTGGGTCCTGCCAATTCTACAGCCTGTTTGCTGCTGCGATGGGTTCTGGGTGAGGTGTTCCATTAGTTTGGGATCCCATTGGCACACGGCAAGACGGTGGGACCGGTCACTTTCTCAGCTTTCTGGGTATTGAGTGTCTCTTTGGCGTGGGACTGCCGCTGGCCTTTGAATAAGAGTCAAGGCTGGCAGCGCGAAGGGGCCTTGGCCATGGGGCAGCGCGATATTCAGCTGCGCTGCCTGCAGTCGCTCCTGGATGAGCTGAATTTTGCCTGTTGGATCATGCCCGTGGGGCGGGTCTTTAACCGGTGTCTGGCTACGGCGACAGCCGTGGTCTCCGGGCCTCGCCATTTCAAATTACAATAAAATTAAAATAAAACGATTTTAAATAAAAAAAAAAAAAAGAAAAGAATCAATAAATATCCCCGATTGGTCGGAGGTCAATTCCTGTATCTTTTGGCAGCGGGCCGATAATCAGTGCATGGTACGCTGCCGTATGAAGCAAAATTGGAGGGCCTTTCGAGGTGTTTGAAGGTAAGGGGATTTTGGTTTGCCACAGGGTGTTGTCGCGCATGTGGCAGCTACTGTGTTTCTGGGTGATGAAGGTCCGGCTAGAAAGTGGTGGAACAGGCCTGGTTGGTTTTGGTGGGGCTCCCAGCTGATTTTAGGTTTAAAACAGCGGGGTTTGTGGCGGGGAGCGTGTCCTTGCCAACAGGGTTGGGGAGCAGATGGAATGTCAGGAGATGGACATGGTGGGTCTCAACCTCCCCTGCTCTGTAAGGTAAACGTTTAAGTTACCGAATAGGACGTGCCCACCGAGCAAAAAGCCGGCTGGTGGTAGAGCATTTAAGATGATGGGAATTTTTGGTTTGGACGAGGGGGGAGGCGAGACACCAGTGGGTAAAGTTTTGGTGCATAGGCACCTGGTTAAGTTCGTTGGCAAGGACGGTTATTTAAGTTGGAGGCTGTAGGGCAATAAGTGTAATTTATATGTTAATTTATATGTTAATTATGGTATGTATATATATTTATCTGTTTATTTATTTGAATTAAAGAAAAAGAATAAAGTTCGGATGAGTCCTACAGTTGTAAGTTTAATAAATGCTGTGGCCTGTTTCATCCAATATTTGTTGTTTGTCATTATTGGGGGGAGAATTGGGGTAGTCTCCTTACTCTTAGTCGCACCACATTCCCCGCTACGTACATACATGCGTCTATCTCATATTAGTTTTCCCTTTTACATTGCATTACTGAAATAAATAACTTTTGCACGATATTCTAATTATTCGAGTATCACCTGTATACTATCACCTGTATTTTATTATTTTAAAGTGTGTGTATATCTAATAGAAACATTGAGAAATATTTATGTTGGGTAATCCCATTTCAAAATGCTTTATATACACTGGTTTGTTTTGTTCATTGTGTATATAGTTGTGTTGTGTTATTTGGCTCTTTTGTGTGCTTTTTTGTATTTTTAGTATGTTAGGAGGCATTAGATGAATTAATGAGTAGTGATATGCAAACATTCTTCCTCCTTTTTTATTTATTTTTTTTATTTTCTGCAGGAGAATTTTATGTTGAAAATGCAGAATTCTGTTGGAGACATTACGTATTGATGATGTCCAAAGTAGAATCTGGAAAACAATGCGAATGGCAAGAAGTTAACAGGTAGCTTTATGTAAATAGAGACTCAGAAGATTCAGATAGAGGTGGAGACACACATTCTCAACCACTCTGCACCTTTCAATCTCAGGCCCTTCTTCTGCTTTTGACGATACAACATGTACCCCCCCCTTCATTCACTAACAACTTCACTTGTTTTAAGTGTTAAACTGTCATGTTAATTTGCTTCAGATTTGAGGAAGAGAGGAAAAAAAAAAATCTTAAAGCTATTTATTTTAAATATCATACTGGTGCAATACAAATGTATAATTACATACTGCAATAGTCTGCTCTGGTTAATTTGATATCTTGTCTATATGCACACACATGGATATATACAAGATACCCAGTGTAAACATATATATTTAGAAAACATGTTTATACTATAGTACACTATTTGTATAGAACATATGCAATTAACGTAAAGTAAATAAATTTAAAAAGGCTATTATTCATTGGCGTTTATATAGGGCCAACTCATTACTCCGTGCTTACAATATCATAAATGGGTAATTTAACATCAAATGAGACAAGCTATTGCAAGGAAAGGAACAATAGATTTAGAAGGATCCTGACATCATGAGCTGGCAATCTAGAGGATGTGCAGGGCCAGATTAAGAGCCCAGTGGGCCTGGTGCTGACAATTACGATGGGGCCTAATTACAGAATTTATCGACCTAAAACAAACAGTCGTACCTCTTAAGCGTCATGTATCTAATGGAGATGGAAACTCAAAGGATGCAGCTATAAGAAAACACATACTCTATGCTTATCTCTCTCTAATTTATGCTTTCATCGTTCAAGTAAATCCATATCCCCTAACAGCAGTGTCCAGTGAAGCAGTAAGTCAATGGGCAGGGTAAAAGGGTGGGCCACTGAGGCGAATCACGTGACCAGAACTGTAAAAATGGGCCACCCTGGTATCAGTGTCCCTATGTATCACAGTGTCAGTGTCCCCATGTCACCCAGTCCCTTAGTCTCCCAGTGTCTGTGTCCCCATGTCTCAGTGTGTCCCATGTCACTAGGATATTAGGGGACACTGAGAGACATGGGGACACAGTGAGACATGGGGGCACTGAGACACTTGGGGACACTGGGAGAAATGGGGTCACAGACACTAGGGACACAGACAATAGGGGACATGGGGACACAGACATTTGTGGAAACTGAGACACTGAGAAACTAGGGGAACTGGGAGACATGGGGACACAGACACTAGGGACACTGGCTGGGAGGCATGGGGACACAGACACTTGGGGACACTGGGAGACATTGGGGCACTTGTGGAGATAGACATGTGTCCCCAAGTGTCAGTGTCCCCACATCTCCCAGTGTCCCCATGTCTCCCTTTCCCCCATCCGTCACTTCCCTGAGCTGTAGTCAGTCTCTGCAGGCTGGGAGATGCTGTCTGGACTCTCTGTGCTGTGTAGCTGCTCCTCCGCGGATCAGTGAGTAGAGAGGCAGGGAGATGATGTAACTTTCTATCCCTGCCTCTCTCCATACACAGTGACCCCTACTGGCCGATGCTGGTATTACAGAGTAATCTCCTTTTATACAGGGAAAAATATTTGCATTTGTATTGTCGGTATTACAGCAATACCGGCACGGCCAGGCAGCCTCAAATATCGTCTGTGCCTTAAAATACCAGTCAGGTGGCAAACCTAAGAGTAGTGTGTGTAACGAAAAAAAAAAAAAATTTTTTAAATGGGCCTATTCCATGGGCCTGGAGCTGCAGCTCCATCAGCCCCTATGTTAATCCAGCCCTGAGGATGTGGGGCAGGCCCGGACTGGCTATTGGGCACACCGGGCAAAAACCAGGTGGGCCGTGGTGGCCATGGGCCGAGGCCGGCAGGGGAGATCACAGGACCTCCCCTGCCAGTCTGTGCAGGGCCAGCACTATCCTGCTGCATTCCATGACGGGCCGGTGGAATGCAGCCGCTGGCGGGGGAGAGAGGGAGGGAGGCAGGAGAGGAACCCGGATGAGCTCTAACTTGCAGCTGGGTTCCTTTCGCGAGATTCGGAGTGTTGCAATGGCAATGCTGTGGGTCTCGTGAGTGTGAACTCTAGCCTCACAGGCTAGAGTTCACTCACCACTAGCACCACCAGGGACTCACAGCAGCACGATCCCCCCTCCGAGGCTAAAGGTAAGAAGGGGGGGGTATATAATCACTCACAGCACCCTCACTCACAAATGCACACACTGCACCCCTGACACTCACAGCACCCTAATTCTCACACACACACACACACATCACCCTCTCTCTCTCACACACACACACACACACACACACAGCACCCTCACACCTACACTGCACTCCTCTTGCACACACTACACCCCTACACACAGCACCCACACTCACAGACACACTGCACCCTTGACACTCACAGCACCCTCACTCACACTGCAGCCCTGACACTCACAGCACCCACACAAACACACAAACACACTGCACCCTCACACAGAGTTTCCTCACACACACGTGATGTTTTGCACAAATCAGTCAATAATTCCTGTATAATGAAGTACTCACTTTATTAATACATATATAACAGGATCTTTATATTGCTGCCTTGTTACACAGGGTTTCTGCAGCCACCATTTCAAATCCCTCGAACATTCCACTGACTGCCAACAGGAACAGGAAGTAAAGAACCAAAAGAAAGGAAGTGCATCATCCACGGCCAACAACAGCCCAACTGCCCATACATCACAATACATACACTCACACACAGCCCAACAGTCCATACATCACAGCACATAGCACCCTCACACAAACACAGCACCCTTACCCACACAGCACCCCTCTTGCACACACACACACACACACACCACAATACTCTTTTTTTGCATTTTTGGCTCCTGGTATCCCATTTATGTCGACACTAGAGACAAAATTCAAGCAAACAATCCAAGCATGTTATTAAATTTGCTTGCGCAGTGCAGAACGAATACAGCGTCTTATTTTTATGCTAGAGCTCTTCAGCCAAGCTCTGCGCATGGTCTTCCCTGGAAGAGCATTGAACCAACATGCTCACTTTGTGATGGGGTGTGCTTGTCATTGGTGATGACAAAACACACCCTATCTAGCTCCAACCCCTTTTTAGTGGGCTGCTGTAATTAAAAAATGCCCAGGCCAAATTTTCTTCCCAGTCCAGCCCTGATGTGGGTTGTACAAACACAATAGGAAAGGCAGCATAGAATTGGAATGTGAGAATTGAAAGGTGAGAATGAAGTCGAGAATCAACTGTAGCGGAGAGGCAGTATAATCCACGATATCTCCGCTGGGTAACAGGAACAACAAAGGATAATCCAGGGAATCAGCATAGAATAATCCAAACAGCAATGTAGTAACCCTTCCTTCCCAAGAACTAGACGACACATAGGCTGGGAGTCAACTGAGGGGGTTTCCTGAGTCCCCTCCCAGGGGCATTCCCAGAGGGGACTACATGGGGGACTTACAATACAGGAAATTTTTCCCATCAGGCACTGCTGCACGAGAGGGATCCTCCCACTGGAATATACCGTTAAGTGCAGCAGAACTCACAATTCATGTTAAATTCAATAACTTCACGAATATCTGGGTTATTTAAACGAATGGACGTTCGGTAGATAGCTGGGGTCTGAGCGCATCATTCGTGAGATTACCGCTCAGATCCCAGCTAAAACAACCGAACGCCGCACGAAAAACACATAGCCTGAAAACACCGATTACAGATAAGGGAATAAAATACCGAATGTCCCGGACCTCCCGAACGGTCTGGAGGTTCAGCGGTGTTCGCGCCGTTGAGTAGCCGTGTTTAGTTCGCGCTGAGGGAACAAAGGATCCAAGATGGCCGCCGGCCGCATGGTCGGTAGTCGAACGACGGCCACCCAGGAGAGCCTCTAATTACCGATTGCAACATTGTTGCAATCGGTTAATAGGCGCCACACGCCTCTAAGTGTGTGGGCTATTAAATGAGATGTTGTTCGGTTTCCGAACGGCCCGCAAAGGTGCCGTTCGTGAAACGAAAGGAATCAGCTATCTGCGTTCGGCAGATAGCCCAGGCAGGCAATACATTATTAACAGTGCATTACATTACACGCTATAACATACAATAGGAACCCCATACCGGCAACCCTTAAAGAGACAGTACAAAATAATGTCCAAGTGGCTAGGTTTGCCACATCAACTCACTAAGTTCAGAAAGTTAAATAGGTTTAAGGAATGACAGTTACCCAGGGGCTTCCACGAATATACTGAAGTGGTGGGTTTTTTAGGAACAATTGAAAGGATTAAAGCCTAGGAGTGACTGTGATGGAAGGAGGCAGGCCATTCCATAAGAATAGAGCTGTCCACGAGAAGTCTTGTAAGTTTGAGTTAGCAGTATGAGCATGTCCAGCGGACGGTAGAAGGTCACAGTCAGATCGGTTTGGCCAAGATGGGGTGTGCCTATGAATTAGTGATGATATGTAGGGTTGTGGAGAACTAATACATTTAATTAAATTCTATACCTTAAAATAGTGGAGATTAATCTTCTCACTATAATTGAAAGTGTGCTATAAGTAAAGTGCTGTAAAATCAAGCATTACTATATATATTTTTATAGTATTACCTGATGTAATTTTGCACCTAAAAAAATATAAGTATACAGTAATTTAGATTATCTCATTAATAAAATTAGAGATTATTTTAAACAGACCACCTGGTAGCCAGAGTAAAATATTATTTCTAGGGGGAAGTACATCGGACTCTCTGGGGACATGGACTCCAAGGGTGGGCCACTTCCAGGTGGCTGATAGTGGGGGAAGCGGGATTTCTACATCCCATGGCATTGGCTAGATGGCATATGGGCATTGTCTGCAGCTGGGCTGGTTTGTTGTTGGTTATGTAGTGCACAATGTGTGTTATGCCTACACCATCCCACTCTACTAATGTGCTCTGTCTGCTCACCTATTTGCCCACCTTCAATTGAGTAATATCTATCCAGTGGTATTTGCTTCTTGTAATCACCCACAGCTCTACAGGCATCTCTAATGTTTCCTAACCTCTCTTGGCTTCCACTAGTAGAGCTGTGTTTCTGCTGTCTTATACTTTATCCTATAAAAAGTGCAGTACCTTCAACATTTCCTGCTATGCCAACTTTTCTTACTTGTATACTCTTGTGAAATATTTGTACAAGCAAGCCTGTTTAACTATGCACTACAAAAAAAAAAAAAAATTAAAAAAATTGATAGGTAAATGATTGTCATAGATTACATATTTACACTGTTTTAACCGATCCTATTTTCTGTCACAGGCCTTACAGCTTATTGCGGGATTGCCTCGAAAGCCTTGCTGATACTTTGAGATTTGCATTTCCCAATGAGATAGCACACGATTACATCATGATGGGACACCTGAATTACTTTGTGAATTGTAGTTCAATTTTTCAGGAACTTGTTGATCCTCCTGAACACATACTGCTGGCTTTAATTTTTGCGCCAATTAGTATCATTCCTTTCTTGGTCACTCTCGTTGTCTGCAAAAGCAAAACAAGTGAACCACAAGCCTAAGGCAAAAGCTACTGACAGATGAAACACTGTAATAATGTTCTTGGAACTGCTCACTAATGTATTAGCAAATCACATGGATATTCTTAAGTCAGTTTCATGATCATTCTGGAGCCATAAACTCAATTTTGGAGTCTGGTCCTTTCTACATCCTAAAAATGAATAAATAACAGCACTGTACTTGCCTTGACTCCACCAGATACCAGATGTAACGCAGTATTTAGCTCATCATTGTCACACTGGATGAGGGACGAAAATAATTTCATTGAATTCTGATAAGTAATTGTGCGTCTGAAAGCCTTCATCTTGCTCTTCAGACTTTCTGTGATACCATTACAGCAGTTTGTATATGCTGAAAAGTTTCAGGGACATCCAACTCACAAGAGAAACATGAATCACAAACGAATGAATATCCTTACTGTCACAATGCACCGTAAAAGTAGAACGATTACGGGATACAAATAGTGGAAGTTATCACTTGGAGTCCATGCCGGAGGAATATTAACAGATATAAGATGTATCAAAGGATGGGTGTTGACATGGATCTCAATGATATATGTGACAAAACTATTTTCTATGTGTAATTTATAAAGTAATAAAGTCTTTCCAATGGCAATACACGTTGTTAATGTTACATACTGGAAATTTGTTGTATCATCTCTTTCTCATATTTTCATTCATCTTGTTCCAAGAAAAAGACATGACATGACAAAAGAAGTGCCTCAGCCTAAAGAAAATATTGTAAAATGTTCAAATCTCCGCAAAGAAAATTATGTGAAAAAAATAAATAAGTAAAAATTATAATATATATATTATATATATATATATATATATTTAGCCATATTAGTCCAGTAGATAAAATGCCAGCGTATTGCTGTATTCAATGATCCCTTTTTTATTGGACTAACATAATATTTCAAAGGAAAAGTCTTGAAAGCTTGTCTTTATAATATTCATATTAGTCCAATAAAAAAAAGTTTCATTGCATACTGCAATACTCTGGCATTTTGGCATCATATATATACACAATGCAAGTTTTAACCTGTTTTTTGTGATACATGAATGGAATGCCTGATTTGTGGGATTGGATGGTCTACAACTAATTTTCTGGAGATTGACAACACTTTTTTACTCAATTCCCTATGAATTAGCAATATTTGGCAACAATAACTGATTTGTTGCTACATAAATTAACAGATGCACAGAAGAATTGATATGCAGTATGTCTGCGTCTGCACTAATTATTGTCAAATTGACTTTTTCTGCGATTTATAAGATGATCAATTAAAGGACCAAACGTCTGGAATAAAAGGGAATCATGACATGTCACATGTCATGTGTCCTTAAGGGGTTAAAGGAGAATTTGTAAACATGTAAACATGATAATGCATATTATTATGTTCTGGGCTTGTTTTAATTACAAATATTTTTTATTTGCAATGCTTTTGCTCTCTCCTAGGTCTGTGTTTTTTTTTTTTTGTCTCTTCACTATATTGCACTTTTTAAAACAAAAATTTAAGATATACATGTATAGTAGCAAGTGTGCCAGTTTATGAATTTATGTATAGCTGTACTTAAATGTCCTATTACAGAATTACTGAAATAATTTGTTTATTGAAGAATTAAAAGAATTTTCCAAAATGATGATCTTTCATCCACATACATACATTTCACCGTGTACGATATTGTGCTTTAAAGAAATCCTCCTCTGTTTTTATTGGTGCCTGTTATCCATAAATCGCTTTTAAATATGGCTTTTCTTGCAAAATGATTTGTTCTCATGGACTTACAAAATACATATCCGCAGCGATGACAAATTATTTATTTTATGTTGCTAAACGTTTTAAACAAAAGTTTGATTAGTTCCAAACTATAGCTTTGGTCTAACTCTCCAGTGACCATTTCATTGTCTGTAATATGGAACAAACAAAAGATTTTAAAGACACACTATAGCGTTCGGATAGAGTTGAGCGGACACCTAGATGTTCGGGTCTGGCGGGTTCGGCTGAACTTTGAAAAAAAGTCGGGGTTCGGGCTCGAACTTGACCCCGAACCCGAACCCCATTGAAGTCAATGGGGACCCGAACTTTTGTGCACAAAAAGGCCTCTAAAAAAACTCCTGGAAAGGGCTACAGAACTGCAAAAGGAAGTAAAATGGGGTAAGAGTAGGACAAGTGCCCTGCAAACAAATGTGGATAGGGAAATCACTTAAAATAACATAAAAATTAAAAAATACAGCTGAGCCATAAAAAAAGCACTAGATGGAATCTTTGATTTTAGCTTTGGAAGAACATAAATCAAAATCTAAAGCATGGCTGTCAGGAGGATCACCAGAATTACCCATTTGAGAGAGGGTTGGAGTGCAGGGTATTCGCTTTCATTGTTCAAACTGAGCTCAACTCCTGATGCATGGAGAAAAGGTCTTCACAAGCCTCTGCTATTGTGTACCTAGTTTATACTAAGTGACCCATAGGTTGAGGAGGTGGTGACCGTGGCGGTGGAGGAGGAAGATGAGGTAGCCAACACTGTTATTTAGGTTTTTTTTGTTTTGTTTTTATTGTGGTAGCCCACAAAATATTGGGACATACAAATAAAGTAATATTTGCGGCCTGTGGTGCATTTCTTGCAGTCCTGATGCATGGAGAAAATATCAACTTCTGATGCATTGAGAAAAGGCCTTCACAAGCCTCTGCTATTGTGTACATAGTTTATATTAAGTGAGCCATAGGTTAAGGAGGCGGTGACCGTAGCGGTGTAGGTGGAAGCAGCGGTGGAGGAGGTAGCCAACACTGTTTTATATATAGCCAACACTGATATATAGATATATATATATATATATATATATATATATATATATTTATATATATTATTTTATTTTTATTGGGGTAGCCCCCAAAATATTGGGACATAGAAAACTCTGTTCCGCACAGCGACTGACCCGTGCGTGCTGCAGCTGAAACTCCACTTTTGCCTGCTGCTGCTCACACAGTCTCATGAGGCAGTGAGCGGGAAGGCCAAAGTTACGCTGCATCACAGACAGGCGAGCAGCAGCAGGGTGAGAACGCCGAAAGCGCTCACAGACTGCCTGCACTTTCTGCAGCAGCTCTGATATATCTGGGTAGTTTTTCAGGAATTTCTGCACCACCAAATTCAGCACATGCGCCAGGCAAGGTATGTGCGTCAAACCGGCAAGGCACAGAGCTGCTTTAGATTTCGCCCATTATCGCACACCACCAGGCCAAGACTCAGTGGCAACAACCACTCATCGGTCTGTTGTTCCATGCCCGTCCACAGCTCCTGCGCGTTGTGGGGTTTTTCTCCCAAACATTTGAGTTTTCCCCTGGCTGTGCTGAAGTTGGTGGTGAAGGTGTTATGCTGACTGGATGAGGAGGTGGTAGAGGAGGAGGAGGAGGAAGAAGCAGAGTAGGAGGCAACAGAAGGCAAAGCTGTGTACCCAAATAAAGATGGTCAAATGTTGTATCCTGGAACTGTGTCCCATTCGGTTACTGGGGAAATGGGTCTGACCTATTCTAATCAGGGGATAACCATTGGTTACCCAGGTCCTGCCTCAAATGGTGGCAAGCGGCGGGATCCCATGTTCCTGCCAACAGACCCATGGACTACAGTGCTCTAAAGTGACCTACACTGCAGGACTTGTGTGGAGCCAGAGGAATAACGCCTGGTGGGCGTAACAATGCCGAATTGATTGCTGCGCTCATGGAGGACCACCAGGCACGCAGTGAGGCAACGAACCCCAGCCAGGGGCCGGAGATGAGGAGGAAGTGCACAAGAAGGTGGAACGGTGCCTGGTATATTACCGAGAGCCACCCTCGGAGGAGATTGTCAGCAGGACCTTTTTGGAGGTGCAAAACTATGTCCTTGCCAATAGACAGAGGGCAACCTCCATGAACCCAGATGAAGGAAGAAGGGAGCAGAGGGCGCCGCGAAGCACAACCACCCTGGCCCACAAGCTACCATACAATGCCTTCAAAAAGTTCAAGGAAGCAGAAGAATAACTTATTACAAGACTTTGAGCGCCAGTGCCTACTCCAAGACGTGGACCCCAGCGACTGGGTCACCATCCTGGCCAGCAAACTAGTGGGGAAGGCAGCGGATATTTACCGGGCTGTACCAGAAGAGCAGATCAGAGACTATCCCTTTATTACACAAATCCTCCTGGCCCGGTATGCGGTCATCCCCGAGTAATACCGCCGAAAGTTTAGACCCGGAACGTGGAGAAGGACTCCCGTGCAGAGTGGGAATGCCGCATCACAAGGGCCACCCAGAACTGGCTCAACTCCCATCAAGCCAAGTTCCTGGAGATCACGCAGCTCGTCATGCTAGAGCACTTTTTCAATGGGTTCCCAACAACACGGCTGGAGAGAGACCGCCAGCCCCAGACCCAAGCAGTATTGGTAAGAGCTGCTGAACCTAGCTCACGATATCCCCTTGGCAGGGCATTTGGACAGCGTCTCGGCTCACCCACAGCTTCTTCTGGCCAGGCATCTCTCAGGATTTGAGGCAGTACTGCCAGATGTCTGCCAGAGAGTGGGGAAGAGAAGGGACTGGCACAGGGCCCCCCTCCATCCCCTACCTATTAGTAAAGATCCGTTCGGCAGAGTAGCGGTCAACATTATAGTTGCGCAGGCACTTTGGTGACTCTAGAGAACCTTGGGCCAATAGCACGTCCCTGTGATGGCGACTTTGCATTCGGATGTCTACCCTATCAACTTTCGATGTCACTTTCTGCGCCTACCATGGTGACCACGGGTAACGGGGAATCAGGGTTGGATTCCGGAGAGGGAACCTGAAAAACTGCTACCACATCCAAGGAAGGCAGCAGATGCGCAATTTACCCACTCCCGACACGGGGAGGTAGTGACGACAAATAACAATACAGGACTCTTTAAAGGCCCTGTAATTGTAATGAGTCCACTTGAAATCCTTTAACTATGATCAATTGGAGGGCAAGTCTAGTGCAGAGCATCTGACCGGTGCGTGCTGCAGCTGAAACTCCACTATCGCCTGCTGCTGCTCACACAGTCTCTCCAGCATGTGCAAGGTGGAGTTCCACCTTGTGGGCACGTCGCATATGAGGCGGTGAGCAGGAAGGCCAAAGTTATAATGCAGCGCAGACAGGTGAGCAGCAGCAGGGTGAGAACACCGAAATCGCGCACAGCCGCTACAGTGAATGTTATATCCTGTTCCAAGTTGCGGATCAGTCTGGGGATGGCTTCTGGTATCCAGTACTCTTTTTACTGAAGCTGCATCAGGGTCCTGGTATGTGGCCGCACAAAGGCTGGTGCTCAACGCCAGGGGGCGTGCGGTTACCCTGCACCAGACCCTGCTAATCCATTCCACACTGTGACTCCTAACTTCAACATCAGGCATACTGGGTCCCGGTCATCCGAATGCCGCCCAGACAGTGTCTGGGTCCCGGGTCACCGGACTGCCCTCCTGACTAAAACTACGAATAGCTCGTAAAATCTGGTACGAACCCGAACTTTGCAGTTCGGGTTTGCTCAACTCTATTATGGCTCCTTGATAACTACATCTGTTACTTGGATAACTGGTTATTCCCGACCTAATACATGCTGATGAGCGCTAGGCGACAGCCGCTCCGCTTTTGCACCCTGCTCCCTCTTAAGCTGTGCTGGTGCCTCTGTGCGACCAGCGCCTCTTCCTCCAACCTGCACATGTCACTCGCATGACCTTGATTCCATGTGGGGTCTAGGACCTCATCATCCTCCACATCATCTTCCACCCACTCCTCAACCCTGCCCTCCTTGCCGGTCTGCACACTGCAGAAAGCCACAGCAGTTGGCACCTGTGTTTTTCCAGCATCTAAACTCTGCAAAGGACATATGTGAATTGTTTTAGAATTGTATCCAGGCAACAGTTTTCCCTATAAACTGACCTCTCAGTTTGACGTTTGTGAGGGTATTGCCCCCGAATTACAATATTGTTATATTGGTATTTGACTGTCAGATATGAAGTGCAGGCCGCAAATGTACTTTCCTGGCTAATCATGGCAGCATATACACATGGGTTAGCTCCTTCTCTTACAGCCACTAGGACAGGATTAAACAAATTCTTATAAAAGGAGGATCCTTAGAAGAGACCCTCAGTCTTTTTCCTCTCCTTACAGCCCTTAGGAAGGGACCTTTTTAGCTCCCTCTAAATCTTTAAGTACTCTATACACTTTAAATTACTTCCTATATTTCTTTCCCTTTTACCCGTTTTTTTTATTCATACCAGGACCTGGGGTACCTGAGACCTTTAGGAGTCGTCCTATCTGCAGTTAGGGTCCCCTGCATTCCATCCTCGGTTCTCCCAGGTCGGGAGCTCGGAGAGGACGCTCGCACATGTGCAATGCGCTCGGTTCGCTTGGCGCCAGAATGCAGTCTGGGTAAGGTCGCAAGGTCACGACGGCCATCTTAACTGTGCAAAGCCCGAAAATGACAGGTAATTTACAGAAAATGACAGGAACTGATTAGTGAATAGCAGGTACTATTTAAAGAACCTGGAACTCGAAGGAGGTTGTTGTGGATTCAGTTATTGTGCAGTTTGGATTGGATTAAGTAAAAGAAAAGCCAAGACTCTGGGATCTTTTCTATTCTTTGACACAGGTTTGTGTATTTCTGATATATATTTATCCCTTTATTGTGATATTATGTTTTGTGTATTTTAAGAGAATTATTTAAAATTATTTGTTGTAGTTAGCCCATTATGAGCTCTACTAGTAGGAACCCTTTACCCTGTTCTGGAGAATCCAGATGAGTAGGAGTCCATATATATTTTATAGAGATTCCGCGAACGGAAACTTCCGCAAATGTTCGCGAACCGCCCGAACCGCCATAGACTTCAATGGGCAGGCGAATTTTAAAACACACAGGGACTCTTTCTGGCCACAATAGTGATGGAAAAGTTGTTTCAAGGGGACTAACACCTGGACTGTGGCATGCCGGAAGGGGATCCATGGCAAAACTCCCATGGAAAATTACACAGTTGATACAGAGTCTGGTTTTAATCCATAAAGGGCAGAAATCACCTAACATTCCTAAATCACAATGAATATGGATTGACACCTGACATATGACATATTGACACCTTGACATATGGATTGACACCTGTCCTCAGAGCCCCTGATGCAAACGGACACAGAGCAGAATAGAGACTGCCCCCCTACATAGGGTCACTTGGCAGATATGGATTGACACCTTGTTACAAACTGCTATTTGTAACTGGCCCTTTAAATGGCAAATCGCCCTGCTTCCCTGGGTTGTGGAGAAGCCTATTTGCCAGCCTCCTCCCGCATGACTATGGCCCCTGGGAGATTGTGAAAATGTATGCAATTTTATTTGTTGTGTATGGCCCTTTAAGACTGTCGGTGGGCATATTGGGGCTTATGGACTCTTTATGTGACTGGTGCTGGCCCTTTAAACACCTTTTTTGGGACATCAGGAAGATTGGGACACTGCCCCTTTAAGGCCGTGTCCCCAGACTTGTTGGGGACACTGCCCCTTTAAGACGGTGTCCCCTGTGTCCCCAGACCTGGTGCAAACCCTTTGTGCCTGCCTGGCTATTCCCACTTGGTTCAGTAAATGGGGCTTACTGAACCAAGTACCACACAGGCAGACCACCCAGAAGTGGAAGTGTGCAGGCAATTTACCTCCCAGAAGCTGCGGTTAACCGCAGCTTAATTGACAATGCTGGGAGGTCTTTGTTCGTTTGCCGAACACGTGGCGGCGGCCATCTTTGATCATTCGACGAGGTCAGCGGTATGTGTAGCCAAATTCATGGAACTAAAATCGGCTACACATTTCCGCGAACACCGCTGAGCTCTACCTTCTCCCCTACTGGTTTTACAGCTGCAGAGACTAAGTCCCATTCGGCGATGGGACTTAGTCGTTTTTTCAGCCTGAAATAGACCAACCTCACAGTCCAAATCTATGGAACTGTTTTGGGCAGGAAAATGTGCTTGCGGTCGGTCATAAAGGGACCTCCAGCTAACTTTTTAACCCCTGGATGTATTTGGCTGATTTTTGGTTATGTTTATGTTTTAAGTGTGCTGATTCCAAATATGTAATTATGAAGATGGGATGTGTAGTTTTAAAGTTACAGTGTATGGCTAAAAACTGTATTTTTACTGCCTGTGTTTAATTATGTTAATCTCTTCCCAAACGTCATTTCGTTCAAAGTGGAGAGAATGTTAAAAAAATATATTTTTGTTCGGAGTGTGAGAAATGCTTTTCAGCCGCTTATAATCTTAAGCATCATTTGAGGAGCCATACAGGAGAGAAACCTTATTTGTGGTGTGTTTAGTATTGTTCTGATCAGTTTAATACCTTCCGCGTCTCCTATCAGTGGACGTGTATATGGCAGCCATTTTGTCAGATTCAAGTTCTTGTGCCCCACAGTTCAAAATAACATTCAAATGACCATTCATGACAGATCACACAAGTGAATAGCCCTGCCAACGTCTTCTCAGAATTTTTTCGTTTTCTATGAAGAAATAGAAATGCAAGAGCAGAATAGAGACTGTTCAGTTTAATACCTTCCGCGTCTCCTATCAGTGGACGTGTACACGGCATTGATTTTTATCTAAGCCGTAAACTTTTGCATAGCAAAGTAGATTCACTGCCATTGAAAAGGAGTGCATGGCGGCAACCTACTTGTATGGACAACCGTTTACCTTACTCACAGATCACAACAAATTTGGGGCACTGTGCGAGCAATCTAATGTGCCACCAGATAGGAGTGGTGTGTTTAGTACTCTTATCAGTTTAATGTTTGTTTGTATGTCAAACATGATTTAAAGCCAAATGTTAAGCAAATGGAATGCGAGGAGGATAATGTGGAAGCTTTATGGGTAAATATCTGCTTGGGGGAAAAGAAGGGAAACCAACTATTGGTTGGGATATGTTATAAACCACCTAATGTTAATATTGACGAGGAACAACAGCTGTTTGAGCAAATTGAGAAAGCTGCAAATCTGGGTAACACTTTAATTATTGGAGATTTTAATTACCCAGATATAAATTGGGACAGAGGGACTAGTGCCTCAGCAAAGGGAATTAGGTTTTTAAACTTGTTAAATGACACCTTCATGTCACAACTTGTACAAGCACCAACTAGAATGGATGCTTGTCTGGACCTGGTTTTAACAAACAACGTTGATCTTTTGACCAACATTCAAGTAGGTGAGCACTTGGGAAATAGTGATCACAATATAGTGTCCTTTGAAATAAACTCAAAAAAACAAAAGCACATGGGGAATACTAAAACATATAATTTTAAAAAGGCCAACTTCAATAAGTTAAGGGAAGCTTTACAATATATTGACTGGCATAAACTCTTTAGTGAAAAGAACACTTAGGATAAATGGATCATCTTCCAACAAATATTACAAAGGTACATTTCTCAGTATGTACCATTGGGAAATAAATATAAAAGAAACAAATTAAAACCAACATGGCTTAGTAGAGAAGTAAAACAAGAGATTACAACTAAGAGAAGGGCATTTAAAGCATTTAAATCGGACAAATCAGATGCATCTTATAAAAGATATAAGGATGCAAATAATGCGTGCAAAAAGGCAATTAGACTTGCTAAACTTCAAAATGAAATAATGATAGCTGAAGAGAGCAAAACCAACCCCAAAGCATTTTTTAAGTACATAAATTCTAAAAAAAAACAAAATGAAAGTGTAGGTACACTAAAAACTGAAACGGGGGTGTTAATTAATGAAGACCAGGAAAAGGCAGGAATTTTAAATAACTTTTTCTCCTCCGTATATATTAAGGAAGAACCCATGGCAATAGATGTGCAAATGATTGCTACTAAAAACTTGCAGAATAATTGTAATTGGTTAACTCAAGACAAGGTGCTGCAGCAACTAAAGAAAGTTAATATAAACAAAGCTCCAGGGCCTGACGGTATCCATCCACGTGTACTTAAGGAACTAAGTGCAGAAATAAGTGAACCTCTGTTTTTAATCTTTCAAGATTCTTTTCTTTCAGGAAGTGTTCCGGAGGATTGGAGGAAGGCAGATGTGGTTCCTATATTCAAAAAGGGTTCAAAATCCTTGCCTGGAAATTATAGACCTGTGAGCTTAACTTCTGTGGCTGGTAAAATATTTGAAAGTTTATTAAGGGATAATATTCAAGAATTCCTTGAGAAGAACATGGTTATCAGCAAAAATCAGCATGGTTTTATGAAGCACAGGTCATGTCAAACTAACTTGATTGCGTTCTACGAAGAAGTAAGTAGAAGTATAGATCAGGGTGTTGCCGTGGATGTGATCTATTTGGATTTTGCCAAGGCATTTGATACAGTTCCACACAATAGATTAGTGTTCAAACTCAAGGAAATCGGTCTAGATGAAAATGCTTGTTCTTGGGTAGAACATTGGCTTAAAAACAGAGTACAAAGAGTTGTCATTAATGGTAAATTTTCAAGCTGGACAGAGGTGGCAAGTGGTGTCCCTCAGGGGTCTGTTCTGGGACCCCTTCTATTTAACATGTTTATAAATGATCTTGAAGACCGCATTGAAAGTCATGTTTCAGTGTTTGCAGATGACACAAAACTTTGTAAAACAATACAATGTGAGCAAGATATTACTTTGCTGTAGAGGGATTTAGATAGACTGGGGGCTAGGAACTCAAATGGCAGATGAAATTTCATGTTGAAAAATGCAAAGTTATGCACTTCGGCGTAAAGAATACACAAGCAACGTATACCCTTAATGGAAGCGAATTAGGGATAACAACACATGAAAAGGACTTGGGAATTGTTATAGACAACAAACTATGCAACAATGTGCAATGTCAATCAGCAGTGGCCAAGGCCAGTAAGGTATTGTCATGCATGAAAAAGGGCATTCATTCTCGGGACAAGAATATAATTTTGCCTCTTTATAAATCACTGGTAAGACCCCATATTGAATATGCTGTGCAATTTTGGGCACCTGTTCTAAAGAAGGATATTATGGCACTAGAAAAAGTGCAGAGGCGGGCTACAAAATTAATAAAAGGAATGGAACATATCGGCTATGAAGAAAGGTTAACAAATTTAAACCTATTTAGTTTAGAAAAACGTCGCCTGAGAGGGGATATGATAACATTATACAAATATATTTGTGGCCAATACAAACCATTGTGTGGAAATCTATTCACAAACCGGACTTTACATAGGACACGAGGCCATGCGTTTAGACTGGAAGAAAGAAGATTTCGTCTAAGGCAAAGGAAAGGTTTTTTTACTGTAAGAACAATCAGGATGTGGAATTCTCTGCCTGAAGAAGTGGTTTTATCAGAGTCCATACAGATGTTCAAACAGCTACTAGATGCATACTTGCAAAGAACAGAATATTCAAGCATATAATCTTTCAATGTAGGGTAATAACTGCTTGATCCAAGGATAAATCTGACTGCCATTCTGGGGTCAAGAAGGAATTTTTTCCAGTTTGTTGCAAAATTGTGCTTCAAACTGGGTTTTTTTGCCTTCTTTTGGATCAACAGCAAAAAAAAATGTGAGGAAGGCTGAACTTGATGGACGCAAGTCTCTTTTCAGCTATGTAACTATGTAATCACTGTTACGTCCCCTATCCCGGATGTGGAGCAAGACGCAGCAGCAGAAGAGGACTCAGCCGAGGAGGTTATGGAAGAGGATGGAGTAGGAGGAGTAGGAGGTGGCAGCGTACTGGCAGAGTACACGCTGTAGGGCTGACACACCTGCTTGAAGATAACTAACTGCTATTCAATCTATAATTGATGTTTGTTTCACAGGCAGAAAGTGCCCTAAAACATGGCGGCTTGAACCCTAGTTGGTGGCTGATAAGTCACGCAAGTCAACCGGCATTCAGAGCTAAAATACAGCAGCGTGTGGACCATTTTTAGCCCAAGGCAGCTCATCTCATCAGGCCTTTTTTAATCTAATGTATCGCCCAGTGTCAGTCCCTTCGGGATCCATCCCTCATTCATCTTAATAAAGGTGAGGTAATCTAGACTTTTTTGACCTAGGCGACTTCTCTTCTCAGTGACAATACCTCCTGCTGCACTGAAGGTCCTTTCTGACAGGACACTTGAAGCGGGGCAGGCCAGAAGTTCTATCGCAAATTGGGATAGCTCAGGCCACAGGTCAAGCCTGCACACCCAGTAGTCAAGGGGTTCATCGCTCCTCAGAGTGTCGATATCTGCAGTTAAGGCGAGGTAGTCTGCTACCTGTCGGTCGAGTCGCTCTCTGAGGGTGGATCCCGAAGGGCTGTGGCGATGCGTAGGACTTAAAAAGGTCCGCATGTCCTCCATCAACAACACGTCTCTAAAGCGTCCTGTCCTTGCCGGCGTGGTCATGGGAGGAGGAGGATGACTTCCACCTCTCCCCCTGTTAGATTCCCGTTGTGCTGTGACATCACCTTTATACGCTGTGTAAAGCATACTTTTCAATTTATTTTGCAAATGCTGCATCCTTTCATACTTGTTGTAATTCGGTAACATTTCCGCCACTTTCTGCTTATACCGGGGGTCTAGTAGCGTGGACACCCAGTACAGGTCGTTCTCCTTCAGCCTTTTTATACGAGGGTCCCTCAACAGGCACGACAGCATGAAAGACCCCATTTGCACAAGGTTGGATGCCGAGCTACTCATTTCCCGTTCCTCCTCCTCACTGATGTCAATGAAGGTATTTTCTTCCCCCCAGCCACGTACAACACCACAGGTACCAGATAGGTGACAACGAGCACCCTGGGATGCCTGTTGTGGTTGGTCTTGCTCCTCTTTCCTCCTCCTCAAAGCCACATTCCTCCTCTGACTCCTCTTCCTCACAATCCTCTTCCAGCGTTGCCGCAGGTCCAGCAAGCGATGCTGATAAGGCTGTTTCTGGAGGTGATGGTGACCACAACTCTTCCTCTTCCTCTTCACGCTCATCTACGGCCTGATCCAGCACTCTTCGCAGGGCACGCTCCAGGAAGAAAACAAATGGTATGATGTCGCTGATGGTGCCTTCGGTGCGACTGACTAAATTTGTCACCTCCTCAAAAGGACGCATGAGCCTACAGGCATTGCGCATGAGCGTCCAGTAACGTGGCAAAAAAATTCCCAGCTCCCCAGAGGCTGTCCTAGCACCCCGGTCATACAAATATTCATTAACGGCTTTTTCTTGTTGGAGCAGGCGGTCGAACATTAGGAGTGTTGAATTCCAACGTGTCGGGCTGTCGCAAATCAAGCGCCTCACTGGCATGTTGTTTCGCCGCTGGATATCGGCAAAGTGAGCCATGGCCGTGTAGGAACGCCTGAAATGGCCACACACCTTCCTGGCCTGCTTCAGGACGTCCTGTAAGCCTGTGTACTTATGCACAAAGCGTTGTACTATCAGATTACACACATGTGCCATGCACGGCACATGTGACAAATTGCCCAACTTCAATGCCGCTAACAAATTTGTTCTGTTGTCACAAACCACTTTGCCGATATCCAGTCGCTGCGGAGTCAGCCACTTTTCCACCTGTGCGTTCAGGGCGGACAGGAGTGCTTGTCCGGTGTGACTCTCTGCTTTCAAGCAAGTCAAACCCAAGACGGCGTGACACTGCCGTATCCGGGATGTGGAATAGTACCTGGGGAGCTGTCGATGTGGGAGCGCGGTAATCTAATGTGCCACCAGATAGGAGTGGTGTGTTTAGTACTATTGTTATCAGTTTAATCACTGTTACGCCCCGATCCGCTGATGTGGAGCAAGACGCAGCAGCAGAAGAGGACTCAGCCGAGGAGGTTATGGAAGATGAGCGGAACTGCAGAGTGGCGGATGGTTGAGAGGGGACAAGGAGGACAGCAGTGGTTGACGTGGCTGAAGATGCTGGACCAGGAGGAGGCTGGCGGCTTAGAGTAGGCGAGCTGCTTGTACTCATGTGTTGATCCCATAGGCGTTTGTGATGTGAGATCATGTGCCTACGCAAAGCAGTTGTACCTAGGTGGGTGTTGGACTTCCCACGACTCAGTTTCTTTTGGCACAGGTTGCAAATGGCATCGCTGTTGTCAGAGGCAGACACACACAAAAATTCCACACTGCTGAGCTCTGCAATGACGGCATTCTGGTGGTGGACACAGCATGCGTTGATTGGCGTGCTGTCGGGCTGACCCCGGGTGCCGATGCATGCTGTCTGACTGTGCCACTAGCTCCTTGCGACGACCTCCCCCTGCTTCCAACTCGTCTCCTCCTCCTCTCTGTCTCCCCATCTGAACTTTCGCCCTGTTCTTCTTCTTGCCGAGCTGGCACCCACGTGACATCCATGGACGCATCGTCATCATCAACCGCTTCACTTGTATCTGACAACTCAGCAAAGGAAGCAGCAGCGGGTACAACATCATCATCATCATCACACCGTACGTCCATGTGTGTAATGCTGCCTGCCTGAGACATATCCCTGTTATCTACATCCTCTGGCAATAATGGTTGCGCATCACTCATTTCTTCAAACGGATGTGTGAATAACTCCTCTGACATACCAACTGAAGCGGCTGTGGTGCTAGTTTTGGTGGTGGCGGCAGGCGGGTGAGTGGTATCTTGAGAGGTGCCTGAAGCTAAGCTGGAGGAGGATGGTGCGTCAAGGTTCTGAGCGGAGGCTGTAGAAGATTGGGTGTCCTGTGTTAGCCAGTCAACTATGTCCTCAGAACTTTTCAAGTTCAGGGTACGTGGCCTCTGAAAACTGGGCATTATTCTAGGGCCAAAGGGAATCACAGCACCACTACCACGATGGCCCCTGCGGGGTGGCCTGCCTCTGCCTGTCATTTTTGTTGGGATTAGTGGTACTATGCGTGCAAGCTACTGTGAGACCAGATATGAGTGGCAATGTGCACTGGCACAGTTGTGCAGAGCACAGGCTGTAGGCCTGACACCCGCTTGAAGATAACTAACTGCTATTCAATCTATAACAGTGAAAAAAGTTTTTTGTTTTTAAATCCAAGCTATTATGACACCAGATCTAATTAGTGGCACTTGTCAGCGTATCCACTGTTAGGCGTGACACACCCGCTTTAAGGACACTGACTGCTATTCAATCTATAACAGTGAAAAAAGTTTTTTGTTTCTAAATCCAAGCTATTGTGACACCAGATGTAAGTGGTGGCACTGACTGGGGAAATGGGCACAGTATGCACTGTGAGCCTGACACAGAAGCTGGCAGCAGTGGCAGACAACTAAGTGCAATTACATTACATAGAAATTTTTTTTTTAAAAAAGCATACCCTAACCCTAACCTAGCTATGCTTTTCCCTATCTAATGAACAGCAGCTACACTTTTCCTCCTCTTACTAAAGCATGCAGCTTGAGAATGAATCTAAAATGGATGCCTTCCAGGAGGTGGGAGGGTCTGCTAGGGAGGGTGTGCTGCTAATTGGCTGGAATGTGTCTGCTGACTGTGAGGTACAGGGTCAAAGTTTACTCAATGATGATGAATAGGGGGCGGGTCGAACCGCGCATATGTTCGCCCGCCGTGGCGAATGCGAACATGCTATGTTCGCCAGGAACCGTTCGGTACATCACTATTCTCCATCTACTAACTGTTCCTTATATTACTTTTAGTAATGGAGAACAGTCTATCATCTCCCCCACGAAAGAGGAGACAGAAGTCAGACCCCTGTGCAGGATGTGATGGGAAGGCGATGGAAGGCAAACAGCTGTGCTTAAACTGTTGGCAGAAGGAAGTGGTCCATGAAAATACCAAGACAGAGACTAGTATGCTCAGTCATCAGCCTCAGAATACCAGGATTCGGCTGAAGAGTTTCAGGTTCTCGATCAGATTTATTCTAGTGAGAACAAGGAAGAGGTCTTGTCGGAATATTTAGATAAGCTTATCCTGAAGGTAAGAAAGACCCTTGTATTACCAGAAGAACTAACTAAACCTGAAATTTCTGATAAACATTTTGCGGATCTTTAGGAAGCAGAAGCCTTCCGTCCCTCTTCACAGAGCCATCAAGGAGGCTGTTACCGCAGAATGGGAATAACCTGATAAAAAGGTTCAGTTTCAGGGCAGGCTATCCAGGCTTTACTCTTTTGGAGGAGAAAACTTCCAAGAAATTGACGACACCTCCAAAAGTTGATGCTACCATCTCTAGGGTAGCTAGGAGAACTAGTCTACCACTGGATAGTTCAGCCTCCTTGCGGGAACCAATGGATAAGAAATTGGATTCTGATCTTTCCACGATATATTCAGTGGGTGGAACTGCATGCCATCCAGGTGTTTGTCTTACGACAGTGTCCAGAGCCATGAAAAGTTGGATAAGAGACCTGGATACAGATGTGGAAAAAGGAATAAAGAGAACAGACCTCACAGATGCTATCTGTGATCTTCGGATAGCTACTGAATTTGTCGCTCAAGCAGCCCTGGATATCACCAGGATCTTCTCCCGCACCAAGGCTTTCTCGGTAGCAGAAAGGAGAGCATTATAGTGGCATTATTGGGGTGCGGACTCCTTCTCCAAGGCCAATTTATGTTCCATACCTTTTGAAGGCGAGCTTCTATTTGGGAAGACCCTAGAGGAATCCATTAAAAAAGCAGCTGAAGGGCGTAAAGTCTTTTTACCCCAAGAGAAAAGAACCAGGAGATCAGGCTCTTCTTGGTCAGATAAGCGACCTCTGATGGATCAATATTTTCGGGATGCTCGTAGCTACCGACCAGGCACAGAGTTCAACAGAAGTAATAATTGGTGTGGGGGCCAATCATATGCTTCACTTTCTTCCCAAGGTAGAAACCCTTCCTTTCGTGCTGGAGGCAAGAACCTCTGACTATCGGTCGGAGCTGGGTGCTGGACTTTCCCTCTTCTATAAAGGTTTGGGCACAGAGCATACAAGATGCCTGAGTCAAAGCAATAATTCGAAGAGGTTACAGATTAGAATTCCTCAGAAGACCCAGGGGCAACGTCTTCATTCCCACAGGTCTACCCAAGGACGAGGGCAGAAGCAGGGCTCTGGAAGATTATGTTCGGAACCTCAGGTCCCAAAGGGTCATCGTTTCACTGCCAGAAGAGGAACGATTCCAGGGTCACTATTCACCTCTATTCTTAGTCCAGAAAGACAAGGACAAGTGGAGACCTATTCTGGACCTGCGGAGGATCAACAGGAGACTTTTAAACAGATCCTTCAAGATGGAGTCTATAAGATCTGACTCCCACCTATCCAGAAGGCAGATGGGCTCATATCTATCGACCTACAGGACGCTTATCATCACATCCCGATAGCCAAGGATCATCATAGTTTTCTCCGATTTGCTATAGGAGAAGACCACTTCCAATTCAGAGCACTTCCATTTGGCCTGACCACAGCACCCAGAACCTTTTCAAAGGTATTGGTCGTTCTTATAGAAAGATTGAGGATTCAGGGAGTCTCTGTTTCATTACCTGGATGACCTACTGCTGGTAGAACCAAACGTCCAGATGACAGTGCTACACAGATTTTGTGCCATCAGAACTTCATCGATTCGGTTGGTTACTGAATCTACAATAAAGCAGCCTCATTCCGTCCCAAAAGATTAAGTTTCTGGGGGCGAACTTCGACACTGACTTTCAGATATGAAAAGCACCCCACTAATGTACTATTTAGCAGTTCAGCAGCAAAACAATTAGAATTTTTAAAAGTGCACTGTAAGCACAGTGTTTGACTGTCAGATATGAAGTGCAGGCCGCAAATGTACTATTTAGCACCCAAAACCATTAGAGTTTTTAAAAGTGCGCTGTAAGACGGTTCTATTTGATTGTCAGATATGAAGTGCACACCCCAAATGTACTATTTAGCAGTTTAGCAACAAAACAATTCAAATTTAGAAAATTGTGCTGTAAGCACAGTGTTTGACGGTTCTATTTGACTGTCAGATATTAAAGGACCACTCTAGGCACCCAGACCACTTCAGCTTAATGAAGTGGTCTGGGTGCCAGGTCCTTCTAGGGTTAACCCATTTTTTTTATATAAACACAGCAGTTTCAGAGAAACTGCTTGTTTATTAATGGGTTAAGCCTTCCCCCTAATCCTCTAGTGGCTGTCTCATTGACAGCCACTAGAGGCACTTGCGTGCTTCTCACTGTGATTTTCACAGTGAGAGCACGCCAGCGTCCATAGGAAAGCATTATGAATGCTTTCCTATGCGACCGGCTGAATGCGCGCGCAGCTCTTGCCGCGCGTGCGCATTCAGCCGACGGGGCGGAATGGAGGAGGGAAGGAGGAGAGCTCTCCGCCCAGCGCTGGAAAAAGGTAAGTTTTTCCCCCTTTCCCCCTTCCAGAGCCGGGCGGGAGGGGGACCCTGAGGGTGGGGGCACCCTCAGGGCACTATAGTGCCAGGAAAACGAGTATGTTTTCCTGGCACTATAGTGGTCCTTTAAGAGCATGCCCCAAATGTACTATTTAGCACCCAAAACAATGTTAATTTTTCAAAGTGCGCTGTAAGCACAGTGTTTGACGCTTCTATTTGACTCTCAAATATGAAGTTTCTGATAAACATTTTGCGGATCTTTAGGAAGCAGAAGCCTTCCTTCCCTCTTCACAGAGCCATTAAGGAGGTGGTTACCGCAGAATGGGAATAACCTGATAAAAAGGTTCAGTTTCAGGGCAGGCTATCCAGGCTTTACCCCTTTTGGAGGAGAAAACTTCCAAGAAATGGACGACACCTCCAAAAGTTTATGCTACCATCTCTAGGGTAGCTAGGAGAACTAGTCTACCACTGGATAGTTCAGCCTCCTTGCGGGAACCACTGGAGTTGGGGGTCTCGCCGTCTCCTACCCACCCTGGACCTACAACAAGGCTCCAGGTTCCAGTGGGCGAACCTCTCCAAGAAAGTGAAGCAGGAACAAGCTCTTAAAGAGCTTAGTAGTGATTAGCTAAGGGAGTATGCAGAGCATAGCAATCCCTTGTAGTGATATAGCAATTCCCCCAATAAGAGACAGGACTCTAGATTTTAAACACATACAGGACTGCCCACAGGGTTTTACAGAACAACCAATAAACACGTAGTGTACAGTACAAACACTCCCATTCATCTCCTCCCCTCTGCTTGGGAGATCATTGAGTTTCTTACTGTATCTACTCAATTATCTCCAAGCTGAAAAATCATACTTTTTATACATTTTTATAACTCCCTGATTTTACTAATTTACTAGTTTGCAGAATTCTTTCCTAATTTGTCCCTGAAAGCGGCAGCATCCTCTCCCTACACTAATAAGAGCTCATGTGCATGCGGCGCTACGCGACTCCAGCTTATATAAAGATGCTGGGTCACATGCTGCACTGGCCAATCACAGCCATGGCATTAGTAGGCATGGCTGTGATGGCTTTTGAGGGCACACGAGTCAAACGCTTGTTGATTGGCTGCCCTGCAGCCTTTCAAAACACGCCATTAAATCACCGAACTCCAACCCGAATATACACTGATATGTCAGTGTTCGGGTCCGGGGTCCAAAAAACTTCATGTTCGGTACGAACTTTACAGTCCGGGTTCTGCTCAACTCTATAAATAATGTCTTGCTGAAAAAAAAACAAAATGTCTGGCAAAAAATAATTCTTAAATTTTTGCCCTTTTTTTTACAGGTCTAACCTCGACTTTTGTTCTTATTAAATTTTCATTATATCATAACCATACGTTCCTCTAAATGTGCCGTACACAAATCTATATATATGCACTCTTTTGCTTAGTGTGATTATCCTGATTCCTAA